ACACAGTTCCTGCTGCATTTATCTCCCACCCCCTGGAGCTGTCTCGGCTAAAGTTAGGGAGCCCATCCTGGTTAGCAGAGGATGAGGGGTCGGAGCAAGTAGAATGGAAAGGGTTGAGTAGAGGGGAAGTCAGCTAGCGGTCAGTCTCTTCCTCTGTTTGTGAAGTCACTGAAGGGCCGCCTGGCTGGTCCCCAGCTTTCTCCCTGGAGATCCCAGGCCTTCACAGCAGGAAGGAACCAGCATTGTTTATGACTTGGCCAGAGTGCTCTCCTGCTCCCTCCCCTTTGCCAAGGCCTGGGTGGGGCCTCTAGACCTAGAATCCCCCATTGTAAGGCCACACCAACAGCATCCCTCTGGCCTCCTCAGCTCAGCTTACGACCACGTGCGCAAGACTCGAGTGGCCATCAAGAAAATCAGCCCCTTTGAGCATCAGACCTACTGCCAGCGCACTCTGCGGGAGATCCAGATCCTACTGCGCTTCCGCCATGAGAACGTCATTGGCATCAGAGACATTCTGCGGGCACCCACCCTGGAAGCCATGAGGGATGTGTATCCTTCACCTGGGCCAGCTGGCTGGCCAGGCACAGCCTCAGATCTGGGCTGGGAGAGCATTGGCTTGCTTGCTTCTTTTTCCTTCTTTCCTCCCCCCTCCATAACAAACCCAGTAAAGGCAACCTTTCCTCCAGAAAGGTGCACACAATGGGAAAGGACTGGGAGACATCAGCTGTGTCCTGGCCTGCTATGTCCAGGCAATGTGGCCTTGGGCAAGTCTGTTCTCTACACTGTACCTCAGTGGGGTGGGGGCTGGGCATTTGGTCTCTATGGGAGCTTTGTCTTCTGACATCTGCAATTCTGTGATGTGACCAGCCTCAGCCCACAGTCCCTGCTTGTATAACAGACCACAATTCTTCCCCCTCTGGGTTCTCAGACTGAAAGGGAGGCAGGAAGGAAAAAACCTCCTTTTTGCCTACCATGAGTCAGGTGCCTTGCATGTCCAAAGCTTTTAACATTTCTTATTCGACCTCCCAACTGCCCTGTGAACTGTTCTCATCAGTTCCATTTCAAAGATGAGGAAACTGAAGCTTAGAAAGTCCAAAAGTCAAATATTTCTGTTGCTGAGTTCTCCCACCCCCAAGATTCAAATCTGTCCCCTTTCTCTAAACATCCCCCTCAGGGCCCCACCCTGTCACCTGTGGACTTGCACCTTGCCCAGGGAGGTGCTGCCTTGCCGTTGTCGCCTCCCCCCTTATCACTTTCCTAGTTTGTTGTCCACTTCCTGCCTGGCTCTGTTGTTAGCAGCTTGTAACACCCAGCACCTCTTCTGCACCTCACCCACCCCAGTCAGCCCCAGCCCTCCACCCAAGATCATGCAGTGTCTGTAACACCCACCATGCTCTGTGGGCAGGAAACCTTCATGCTCACTCCCAGCTTGCTGTGTGACCTTAAGCAAGTCACTGCGTTTTGCTGGTTTATAAAGCAGCAGGGTTGGTCCAGATGTTTTCAGAAGGCCGATTTGAGACTGTTTCAAAAGACTGTTTCAGAGACAAGCCATCTGACAATCTATGTAGTTTGTATATGTTTAATCTTTGTTTTATATTAATATATAAAAGGACATTTACTCCTCAATCTTCTGAGATATTGCCAAGCATTGAGTAGGAGCGTGCTGTTGGGAGTTTTTCCTCATTTGTCTTGCACAAACCATTCCCATAAGGCAGGCATTTATTTTTAAGCAAACATTTATTGCATGCCAGATGGTGTTCATACATTATTTTATTTAACCCTCACTGCAGTCATGTGGCTTATAATACATGCAATATTATAAATACTACTGCAGTTATAATAGCAATAGTAGTTCATGTTTGCTGAGCCTTTGACATGCCAGGCACTGGGCTGGCTGCTTCACATAGGTCACCAATTCTAATCTTCACCGCCACTTTCTAAAGAATCATTATTTTCTCAACTTTACAGATGAGGAAATAGAGGCAGAGACAGGTAGAGGTCATAAAACCAATGAGTACTGAAGCAGGAATTTCCAACACCAGCAAATTAACTCCAGAACTTCTGCTCTTAACGTCCAAGTTCTGCTGTCTCTGATAGTTTATTACTCCCATTTTTCCCAGTGCAGAGACTGAGTGGCCATAGCTTTGTTCAGGGTCATCAGCTGAGATAAAGCAGAGGCCTCATGTCCAATTGTATTAGTTATGGGCCTTACTCAGCTCATGATATGGGTTGGCAGATCTGTTGAGTTCCAGGGAAGCCAGCTGCAGGGCATGTGAAGCCCAGTTCCATGTCTGTTCTTCTTAACCAAGTGCCTCCCACTGCCCCCACCGGGGGGGTCTCTGGTGCCATCCTCAGCTACATTGTGCAGGACCTGATGGAGACAGACCTGTACAAGTTGCTCAAAAGCCAGCAACTGAGCAATGACCACATCTGCTACTTCCTCTATCAGATCCTGCGGGGCCTCAAGTATATTCACTCAGCCAACGTGCTGCACCGGGACTTAAAGCCCTCCAACCTGCTCATCAATACCACCTGCGACCTTAAGGTCAGAGGTTTGGATCCTCCTCTATCACTTTCCTAGTTTTTTGTTCACTTCCTGCCTGGTTCTCCCCTGGAGCCTGGGGAGGACAACATCACAAAGGGAACAGCATGGGAAGGTTATGGTTGCTTGGGTCTTGGAGACCTTGAGCACCAAACTAAGCAGCCTGGGTTGGATTCCAGATCTGTGATTTTGGCCTGGCCCGGATTGCTGATCCTGAGCATGACCACACTGGCTTCCTGACAGAATATGTGGCCACACGCTGGTACCGGGCCCCAGAGATCATGCTTAACTCCAAGGTAGGGATGCTATCCCTGAAGTGAAGGGGTCATATGCCAGAAGACCCGCGAGTCACCTTTGAGCTAGGCATTGATCCCATTAATGCAGGAACTCTACCCCCAGACCTATCATTCTGGCTCTAGAAAGACACTGAGTGTTGGCTCTTCTGGCCCTTCACCCTTGCCTCCCTGTCTGGTGTGTTGTATCTTGGTTGGGGGTGATGGGTTGGCCCATCACAGGGCCCTGTCGAGGCTGCCCATGACTTTTCTTCTCTTCAGGGCTATACCAAGTCCATCGACATCTGGTCTGTGGGCTGCATTCTGGCTGAGATGCTCTCCAACCGGCCCATCTTCCCGGGCAAGCACTACCTGGACCAGCTCAACCACATTCTGGGTGAGGGGGGCCTGACCAGAAAAATAGAAAGGAGATTAGCTTACCTGCAGTGAGATTAGAGTCAGCCTCTGTGAGTCCTGGAGTCAGGGACCAGGAGACCCTACAGCAGTATTCAGGGACGTATAGGTACTGTTCCTATTTAACAGATTTAAAAAAAACAAGACTACACTCCACACCTAGAAAGTACTAGGTGTTTGAACCTAGGGCTGCCTGAATCCAAACTCCTTGCTCTTTGCATCCATTATGTTGGCTGGGAGATAATAATCAGGACCTGGAACAGGTTGGTGGGGGCTCTTGTTCTTGGCTCTTCTGTTCCCAGAAGGGAGAGAAGATTCCCTCACCAAATTACCTGCCTTACCTACAGGTATCCTGGGCTCCCCATCCCAGGAAGACCTGAATTGTATCATCAACATGAAGGCCCGAAACTACCTACAGTCTCTGCCCTCCAAGACTAAAGTGGCCTGGGCCAAACTTTTTCCCAAGTCAGACTCCAAAGGTGAGAGACATGGGGGCTGGCGTGGGATAAAAACTGGTTGCAGAGGAGGAAACGTGGGCTCAGCAGCTGCCTGAATAGACAGGCTTCTGGGAGCGCTTCTAGCCTTCTCTGACTTCTGGCTCCTGCCCTTCCCTAGCCCTTGACCTGCTGGATCGGATGTTAACCTTTAACCCCAACAAACGGATCACAGTGGAAGAAGCACTGGCTCACCCCTACCTGGAGCAGTACTATGACCCAACGGATGAGGTGGGCCAGCCACCAGAAGCTGGGCAAAGGAATGCATGCTCGGATGGGTAGGCCTCCCTCAGTACTTATCCTGAGCCTGCTTCTTTGCCATCTTAGCCGGTGGCCGAGGAACCCTTCACCTTTGACATGGAGCTAGATGATCAACCGAAGGAGCGACTGAAGGAGCTCATCTTCCAGGAGACAGCTCCCTTCCAGCCTGGGGCACTGGAGGCCCCCTAATCTGGGCAGATGCCTCTGTTACCTGGGGCCTGGTGAGTTCTCCCCACTACCCAGGGTACCTGGCAGGCTCTCACACAGTCGTGTATCCATGATGCCTGTGTATGGTGGCAACAGCAAGCCAGAGCCTTCCCAGGCCACAAACCTGGTCCACTAGTTCTTCATGTCCCCCAGCCCCGAGGTTTCCGTCGTCAACTCACTGCATTTTCCAGCCCTATGGCTATTCCCGGCTCTCAGGGGTCACTGGGGGGCCCTCTCAACTTTTGACTCATAATATGAGCAAAGAGGTAGGTTAGGCAGTAATTGTTTTAGAGGGAATAGTAGTAGCAGTACCCATCCTGTTTTAGATGCCAAAGTTTTTCGCATCTGGTGCCCAGGACAGCCATTTACAGACCTTTTGGGGGGCCTTGCTGGGCCTACCTCCCACCCGCCATAGCCCCTCCAACAGCTCACCTTTCCTCCTCCAGTCTCCTTTCTGTCTCTGGCAGCTGTGGTCTGATAAAAGGAAGGCTGATATACCTGGGCTCACACCCCAGCTCCGACAACAGGAGCGGCATGACAGCACGCACCTTATCTCTGCTTCAGTGTCCTGGAAACGGTTGTAATAATGAGAGCAAACACTTAGGGAACAAGAAGCACTGTTCTGAGAGGTTGCTGTGGGTTCATTCATTTGACCCTTATCACAGCGCCTTGAGAGGTATTAATATTAGCCTCATTGATGATAAAGAAAATTAGCTACATTCCACTCACCTGTGGGGGATGAAAGGCGAGAGGTTGAGGCCAGGGCCCTAGCAGGTCTTCCCATGAGTCTAATGGTTCCTTTCCCACCTGCCTTTTGTTTAGGCCCTACCTCCTGCCTGCCCCTCTCCTGCTGGACTGTTAAGAAAATGGACACTGTGCCCAGCCCGGACTCCGGCAGCCCAGGTCGGGGCAGAGGGCAGGCCTGGCCACCTTCCCTTGCTCTGCCCTGGCTGCCTGCTTCAGGCAAGCCATGGATGCCCCCAGCCCTCCCCTCCTCCCCACCAGGACCTGAGGGGCTCAGGTGGCCCCAAAGCAAACTTCATTCTGCTGCTCTGCCTTCGTCTACCCCAGCTGTCCCAGTCTCTGGTAGTTCTGGAATCGACAGGCTCTGGCTGCCCCAGGACCTACTGAAGGGTCGGGGTGGAGGATGGGGACACTGAGTAGGGACTCAGGGCAAGCCCCACCCCATATCCTCTGAAGGAACAATCCTACGTCTCAAGGGCTAGTATCCCTACGAGCAGGGCCCAGGCCTAAACCCCTTTCCCCTCAAAGCTGCCACATTTAACGCCCCCTGCTGCTTCTGTGTGTGGGTGAACAGAAGTGGAGGTGGGGGCACATGGAGAGCCCAGTGCCCCTCCCACCCCTGTGCCTGTATCTAATATATAAATATAGAGACGTGTATATGGACGGCCCCGGCTCTGTCTGTGTTCGCCGACACCCTGACCCTCATCTCTGCCACTTTGCTGCAGGCTCTCCAGCCCAGCTGCTTCCCAGTCGTGGCTTTCCCGGCCCTGGTAACCTTTCCATAGCGGACCAGGGTTGATGGGAATGTAAGGAGCTCCACACTCCTGGGAAGGATGGAGTCAGTTTTCCCCTTGGTCACTGCCCTCTCTGGTCTCTGATGACTGTCTGAATGGCTGGTGTGATTCCAGGATGACTCAGGTGTACCCTGCATATTCCCAAATTCTCTGGAAGTGTCAAGGGTGTTGTATACTGTGGGAAAGGAGCAGGTTGTAGTGTCCACCGCAGGGGAACCTGTCTCCCCGTGTGGGCCAGAAGAGGGCTGCTGGGGTCTGCGTGGGGCCTTGGGAGGTGAGGACCCAAGTCGCCTGGCCCGTGGACTCCTGCCTCCACTCCATCTCCGGCGGAGCCCTGCAGCCTGGCGCTGTGCCAGCAGCAGGCTTAGCAGGTCCCAGGGGTGTGGTGGCGGCCAGTGGTGGAGCCAGCCTACATAGGCCAGCAGTCAGCAAAGCAGCACAGTCCATCCGGCACTGCTGAGCTTGCTGCCACTGGAGCCCAGACAGGCAGCTTGGCCATGAGCCCTCTGCTGTACTATGCTCTGCCTGCCCTGGGCAGCTATGCCATGCTCTCCATCTTCTTCCTGCGCCGGCCTCGCCTGCTGTACACACCTTGGGTTTCAGTCTTCCGTCCCCGCCTGGGGGCCCACCGGGGAGGTGAGCGGGGCTAGGTAGGAAGCGGGTGGGTGGCAGTTGTTGAGGGTGGAGAGAGGGCCAGGGTGGGCAGCAGAGGGGTAGGTCCAAGTGGCGGGGTGTTAGAAGGGGCAGAGACCAAGGCCCAGTGAGGGCAAGGTGGCCGGGCGGATGTGGAATGGGGAAGAAGAAAGAGTTCACCCTGGACTGACTGGTGATGCGGTGGGGGGGGGGGGAGGAGGAAGGCCGGGACCGAGGGACACGCCCAGCTGCCCCACACAGGATCGGGAGAGCGGCTGGAGAACACCATGGAGGCCATGGAGAAGTGAGTGCACCTGCCGGGGAAGCTGGTGCCAGCTGAGCTGCCTGATGCCAGCAGGGTATTCCCTTCTGGGCCTGGGTGACTGGAGCTCCTAGCAATGTGCAGTGCATGTCCTCACCTCCCGCCTCTCCCACCCCCGCTAGACTTACCTACCACCCTGTGATATGGCCCTTCCCCTGCTGCCCACTGACCTCTGCCCCTGCAGCTCCATGGGCCAGAGAGCAGACCTCCTGGAGCTCGACTGCCAGCTCACCAGGGACGGAGTGGTGGTGGTGTCACATGATCAGAACCTGTCCCGCCAGTCGGGTCTCAACAGGGATGTGGGCAGCCTGAACTTTGAGGTGGGCCTGTCCCAGTCCCCCCCCCCAACACGCGGTTACTGCATCCTGGTGACATACTCCTTGCCCTCCCAGGAGTTGCCCCGCTACAAGGAAGAGCTGGAGGTTTACTTCTCGCCAGGTGAGAGCATGACCTATGAGTAGTGGACAGAGCTGTAGTCTCCTCCTGCCGGCCTGGGTCAGTCATGGCCTCAGCCTTTTGCCCTCTTTTATGAGATTCGACCTCCTGAGTCCCCCAACCCCGACAACCCTTTTCTGATCCCTCTCCCCACAACATGTCCCAGGCCGCTTCGCACACGGGTCGGACCGGCGCATGATGAGTCTGGAGGAAGTGTTCCAGAGGTTCCCTCAGCTGCCTATGGCTGTGGAGGTCAAAGGGGACAATGAAGAGCTCATTCACAAGGTGGTAGCAGGCAGGTGGGGCAGTGGCCCCAGCTGGTGGGAGGCCTGACCCTCCTCTTCACTGCCGCCTCCTCTCCCAGATAGCAGCCCTGGTGAGGCACTTCAACCGCAATGAAATCACCATCTGGGCCTCAGAGAAAAACTCAATCATGAAGAAGTGCAAGGCTGCTGTGAGTCCCTGTGCCTGCCTGCTCCCCTCCTTCCAGGAGCTGGAGCCCAGCACAGCCCCAACCTGAGGGGCTCGGGAGGGCTTTGGAGGGCCTGGCCCTGAGCAGTCTCCCAGGAGTAGGATTCCGAGCAGTGTGGCAGCAGGGGAAGAGTGTGAGCAGAGGTGTGATAGTGGGAAGGAGGACGGTGCCAGTTAGGCCAAGGTGTGGCTTTGACCCTGCAGGTCGTGGGCTTTCCTGAATACCCAAAACTTTCCCCTGCAGCCCAAGCCTCCTCTCTGCTTCCCCAGGAGCAGACTGCTCGCTCTCTCTCTCTCCCACTTCCCCTTACCACTCCCCAGAACCCCGAGATGCCATCTTCCTTCACAATAAGCCGAGGAATCAGGGTGCTGCTGTTCTATTACCTGGGGCTGCTGCCCTTCATCCCCATCCCTGAGAAGTTCCTCCTCTGCTTCCTACCCACCATCATCAACAGGTACCCATACTGGGACAGGATGGGGCCTCTAAGGGTACCGTCAGGCCCTCAGCTGCCTTTGGTCCTGAGAAAAACTCCCCCATACATCTCAAACCCTATTGGGCAGGGTCCCCTGTGGAGCAGGAGACCCAGTCTCCCTGGGTCCTTGGAAAACTGCTTCTTATCAAGCAGGAAAACTGGTTCTCATCAAGCATTCATGAGTCCTAAGGGGGCCACCAAACCCCTGAAATTATGTGCAGATGTGTGTTGCCATAGCGTTTAGGTGTTTACTTATCCAGTTTTCCAACAAATAGTTATTGGATGCCTCCTCTGGTCCAAGTGCAGTTACACTACTGAGTAAAGCCAGTGTGGGACGCATGAGCCTCCATGAGCTTACAGTCTGGCTGGGGAGACATATCAATTAATTAGAGCTTCATTCTAAAAGAAAAGCAAGTGTTTATCCCGCTAGGAGACTGGGATTAACAAAGTAACAGCTGGGTAAAGTGTTAGGATTTGATTGTCAGGTTCAGGCCGAGCCCCTCCCTCTGCTTTCTGAGAATCTCTGAGCCACCCAGTGCCTGTTCCTCTCTATTGTCCTGAGGAAGCTCCCAACCAGCCCCCACAATCCCTTCCTAACAAAGAGATCATGATAGCACAGAACTTTGTGTACATATGGTTTATACAAGTCTACAAAGTGTTTCTGCACCCTTCAGATCTGGAGTTTTACCTCCGAGCACTCCCAGGAGGTATAGGAATCATGACCCCCACTAGTGCCCAAAGAATTAGACTCAGCGTTTCTATAATTTGTCCAGGATCACACAGCTAAACAGGCTCAAAACTCATCCTGGGATACTGTAAAGGGTCACTAGGGTAATTCTGGGTGGGAGGGTTAGAGAGAACTATGACTCAGCCATGTCCAGTCTCAACAAGAGGGTCAGGCCCCACCAGAAGGACCTCCAGATTATGTGTCCAGCTGAGGAATCAAGCTGGATTCTGGGCCTGGACTCACTATGGATTTGCTGTGGGATGCACCTTGGGCCAGTTACTTTCCTTTCCCAAGACTGTTTCTTCTGTAAATGGTGAGGGGAGGTTGAGTCCAACCTCAAAGAGTAGACTCAGATGTGGGAGTAATCTCACTGAACAATGGGTCATGATGGCCTTTGATCAACTGCAGAGGGTCTTCTAAAGGGAGTGTGGTTACACTGGCTGGCAGGGGACTACACTAGCACCCCACCCCTGTGACTGAGACCCAAGGGGCTGACCACCATATCGCCTCTGCAGGACCTATTTCCCGTTCTCCAGCCCGGGGCTGAACCAGCTGGCTGCTGTTGTGAGCAGATGGTAAGGTGGGCGAAACGGCTGGGAGGTGAGGTGGGGTCAGGTGCTCAGAGACCTGCCACCTGCTCTTCTCCTTTGATCCCCTCTCATCATGGTTCTTGTCATTCCCTACCTGCCCCAGGATCATCATGAGGAAAAGTCTCATCCAACACCTGGAGCAGCGAGGGGTACAGGTGAGACTTGACCTCTAGTCCCTCAGCAAGTGGATGGGTCAAAGTGGGGCCTACATATTTCAACCACTGCTCCGCTGCTGAAGCTGGACCCTTGGGCAGGGTCTGAGTCTCGACTTCTTCATTTGTAAAATGGGGATAATGGTATATTTAACTCTTCTGGCTATATAACTGGTAGCTAGTAAAGGCTTGATAAATGCTAGCCTTTGTGATTACAATGAGGCATTATACTCTCCTGATCCTGGTGAGGGGACCTGGGGAAAAAGACCAGATGAAACCTGACTCAGCCCAGGTTCCATGAAACCCTCAACCCCTCCCCTGAGCATCAGCTTTGACTGGGTTATTTAATTAGCAAACCTTTATTGAGAATACCTGGGGTGGGAGCTTACAGACAGAGGAAGGAACTGAAGCCATTGTAAGTGGACAAAAAACAAAGCACTGTGGCCTGGGAGGTTAAGAGAAGAGAGGAGCTGGCTTCAGGAGGGGAGATGGAGAGCATCTCAGGGAGGAGGATCAGCATGTTTGAAGGCCATTGGAGGACCCCAGAGCAGCTCCAACAGGCTGCTGAGTGGAGGAAGTTGCCCAAAGGTGCTGGAGAAGGCAGCAGAGATTGAAGCAGGCTTCAGATAGGAGCCGGCCTGGATTTCAGCTCAGTAAGACAGGAAGCTTTTGAGGGACCCTATAGTGCTAATTTGATGGAGGTTTAAGGGAAGGCTACCTGGACCACCCTGTGAAGCAATAGTGGGGGCCAGTGGAGAAGTAGGGGTGGATGGAGAGTTAACTCACAGGCAGGCGGGGACTCAGCCCTGATTGGCTGTGGGAGTGAGTGAGGCCAGGGGATGAGGTAGCTCTTTCAGGGCAGCTTCCCACCCCCAGGGGCTTCTCCACAACTATGGGGCGCTGGACTTTCACTCTCTGGCCAAATTAAGGAGTTGAGTGGTCGAAGTGACTGGCCCAAGGTACAAATACCATCTCCCCCTACTTCAGTGCCCACAGCGGGAGGACTCAGGAGGCAGCAGCGGAAGGGGGCTGGGAGGCACTAGCTGGCAGGTAACCCCCCCACAGACTGGCTCTGGGAGTCCTTGGTTTAAGCATTAGATAATTTCCCCTGTACATACTGGTAAATACTTACTGTGACAAATCTCAGACTATCAATATGAAGTCACTGAACACAGAGCTGGGAGACATGCTATATAACCCATTATAAATTATATATAACTTATTACTTAAGCTTTATATAATTTTAATGTAAGTATATAATTTGGTATGTAATAATGTCCATGCTTAATAACCAGTTTTCAAAAATCTCTAAAAAATTAACAATCCACCCCAGCATAGTACTGCTGGAGGGCTCCACAGAGGAGGAGCCCCCTCCCGGGTTATATAGCCAGAAGAGTTTTGAGTAAGTTTGTTTGGAGACTACATTTATGGCCTTTCCTCACTCAGGTGATATTTTGGTGCCTTAATGAAGAATCAGATTTTGAAGTGGCCTTCAATCTGGGGGCCTCTGGAGTGTTGACTGATTACCCCACAGCCCTGAGGCAGTATCTGGACAACCGTGGAGCAGCCCTCTAAGCCAGAGCCCCTCACCTTTTTGTGTCTTCCCTAATAAATGCTTTCTTTTCAATCGAGTCTTTGTGCTACAGGGGAGGGGGTGCAGGCAGAGGTTCAGGGATGGGGGTGGAAACAGCAAAGATGGCACATTAGGTCCAGAGTCTTGGGGCCCCAATCAGCCTGACCCACTAGTTCTACCACATTCCAGACCCACAGTAATGCCACACCCTGTGCCAGCCTGGCCTCCACTCTCAGGAATGTCCCTCCCAGGAACAGGGGCCCCTGCCCCTTCAGAGATACAGATAATGGTTCCTTTCTCTAAAGTTTAGGAAAGCTGCAGAGACTTGCAGCTGTGGGCCTCCTCACCTGGCTGCAGAGGGTGGGCATGGCTGAGGCCGCTGAGTGCACAGCACCCATCTGCTGTCGGCTTTTCAAACTTCCAGGTCCCCTATTCCAAAAGCTCCCGAAGTTCCACAGATCTCTTCAGTCCAGTACCTTGTGTGATTTCACAAATGTTTATGGAGTAGATCAGGCTAGGTACTGGGCCCACAACAGGGGACAAGACGTGCCTGGCAGACACACGTGCAACCATTTTCAATGGAGTTCAGAGGTGAGAGAGGTGAAGGGGGAAGCCCACGGGAGACACCGAGCCCGGCGGTGCCGGGCAGGGACATCGGAGGAGGCGAGGCTCAACAGTAGGAACTGGCTTTTCTTCCAAGTTCTGACTCCCGGGGATCTAACCGGGATGGGCGCCGTTAGCGCTTGCATTTCCCAGGGTGGTATCACACCAAAGTTGGGAATTTCAGCTTTGCCTCTTACCAGCTAGATGACGGGGAGAACTGCTAGGTCTCGGTAGACCTCAGTTCTTTGGGGAAATGGGAACAATAGAAGCTGCCTCCTAGGGTTGCTGCGGTGTGAAGAGAGGAGTGGTGGCGGCGGTGGGGACACGCAGATAATTGTGGCGATTATTTCTCGGGAGAGAGAGTCCAGACACCACTCCCCTCCGAACCCCTTGCCAGATACCTCGGCTCCTTGCCCCTCGGGGGCCGCGGGAGGCCAAAGGGGCGACCGCGCCGGGCAGCAGGAGAGCCGGCTGGGCGGCCGGCCGCAGCCGCATTTCCGGGCCGGACCGAGCGGGGCGCAGGGGGAAGGGCAGCGCGGCCTGCGCTGGCCCGGCGTGACGCGCCTCCTCATTTGCATGCCGCGCGCTGATTGGTCACGACGGCCGCCGGGACCCGCGGCCGGCCCCCTCCCCCTCCCGCCGCAGCGGCGGCAGCAGCTGGTCTCGGTGTAAACAAGTCGCGGCGGCTGCGAACCCGGGCCGGGGGGGACGGCGCCCACCAGGAGCGCCCCCCACTCCCAGGCCAGGCCACCCCGGCGGACCGGGCCCTGCGCGCCCAGGCGAGGTGAGGCCCACATCGTCAGGGCTGCGTGCCGCCTCGCGCCCCCGCCCCGCCAGCGAGGACTGTCCCCTTCCCCCGGGCGTCCGCTCCCCCCAACCCCTGAGCCCCAGGTGAGCCCCGGGGGTCTCGGGTAAGACTGCGATGCAGGTAAGACCCCCTCGGCATAGACAAGGCATCAGCGCTCCCAGGTAAGAGCCCCTCCCCTTCATGACTCTCTACCTTCATGAGGCCTCCTGCTTTCTGCAGGTGAGGGACCCTCTCTCCCCCCAGGAGATCTCCCTGTACCCCAAGTGAAGCCACCCCACCACCTCAGATGAGATCCTAAGAAACATCCATTTGCTAACCTCTTTATGGCTCCCCTAAACTGAGAAATGACAGTTCTTCCACTCTAAAGCCCCTTTCTTCCACCTTCAGTTGCCATGTTAGCAGGGGTGAGGCCCAAAGCAGGTGGGTGACTCACCTTGGGCTCCTCCTAGCCTCAGTTTCCCCATTGATGCAACTTGAGGCCTCCTCAATGAGTCAAAACTGAGACAGCCCTGGCCCCTGGAGAGGCTGCTGGCTCTGGGGAGAGGAGACAGCAGCCAAGTGTGACAGAGAGAGTCCCCGTGGCTCTGGGCGTGCCTGCATGTGTGTGGCCCCGGTCCTAACAGCCCCCCTCCCTTCCTGGCAGGCACTGGGCTCCCTCTGCTCCCCGTGGGCCGCTCCCCGCGTGGGGCCACTGCCCCCGGCCCCCGCCATGGTGCGGATTTCAAAGCCCAAGACATTTCAGGCCTACTTGGATGACTGTCATCGGAGGTATAGCTGTGCCCACTGCCGTGCTCACCTGGCCAACCACGACGACCTCATCTCCAAGGTAACAACAGTTGGACTGAGAGGCTGGAGGCTCTGTCTGGCTGCTCCCCACCAGTAGTCCTGACCCCCTCCTCTCTCCCTCTCACCCTTTAGTCCTTCCAGGGCAGTCAGGGGCGTGCCTACCTCTTCAACTCTGTGTGAGTATTCTGCCTGCCTCCTTTCTTTCTCTGACCTCTGTTGTGATCTGGGACCCATGGCATCTTGCTGATATTTCAAGTCCCCCTGGTTCAGGCAGGAAGCTGTGGGAGAAGTAGAAGAAGCAAGGGAAAAGTGGAATTGGGTGCAATGGATAAACAGTTAAATACAAATTAGAGAGGGGGTTTCGTGATGGCCAGCCCCTCCCTGAGATGCCCCCATGTCCCTGCAGGGTGAACGTGGGCTGTGGGCCAGCCGAGGAGCGGGTACTGCTGACAGGCCTCCATGCGGTCGCTGACATCCACTGCGAGAACTGCAAGACTACATTGGGCTGGAAATATGTGAGTCGGTGACTCTGACCCCAGGCTAGCCTTTGACCTGACCTCCTTGACATCACCTCCTCACAGCAGTCATCTGGTAATCTTTCAGGGTGTTCAGGCCCCACTTGCACAAGTCAAACTGTCTCTTCACCTCTGACCATGTTCTCTTTCACATCCTGCAAGGATGTTGCATCGGGTAACACCACACTGATAAAGAAACAGGAGCGGTAGAGCAGGCAGGCTACATAATGCAGGATGCTGCTCAAGAGCAAGATCCTGGCCTTTTTATTAGTAAACTAACCAGACAGCATTAATCATATGAGGAAAACAGAAAAGGAGAGGGAGAAGGAGAAGAAGCAGGAGAAAAGTGGAACTGCACTTCTCACCTGCTTATCGCTTGGTTTCAGAGATCAAGCCCTGACTCCCCAGTCAGGATTTCAGTCTTATCAGTAAGGCATTCCACTGATCAGCTTCTGGGGTCCTTCACTATACATCAGTCGACAGCCCCAGGGCTTTCCTGGTCATAACTCGTGATGTATAAGTCAGGAGTAAGTTTGTGCTTCTGTCATTAGCACTCCCCGCCACCCCCCGGCATTCATACCTCTTGATGCATACCTTTCCCAGAGTGAGCGAGCTTTATGCTCTTATTTGATGTGAAAGTCACCTCGTGGGTTGGGCTCCTATGATCAGGCAGTTCTGACCTTGCTTTAGGAGTACAGACCTGTAGGTAACAAAGTGGAAGCTCGATAGGTCCCTTAAGATTAGCAGACCCACACAAGGACTGTTAGTATTTTTCTCTTAGCCCCTTCTTTCTCTCTTGGTCACAGGCATTCCCATTTTAGCAATGAAGATAGCACCCGTTGCCATTTATTGAATGCTGACATGCCACGCACTGGGGTGTGCATATATTATCTCATTCAGTCATTACAGCAATCCCATAGGTAGAGTCTATTATTATCGTCACATTACAGAAGAAAGGAAGGCCCAGAGTGTTAGGCAACTTGCCTAAGGTCACACAACTGGTAAGTAAAGAACAGGAATTAGAATCCTAGTTTGTTTGTTTGTTTTTTTCTAGACTCCTGATGTTGTCATTCAGAGGTCAGAGAAGTTGCCCAAGACCCCACAGCAGCACAGAGCTGGCATCCTTGGGCCTCCTTTACCCCTGTCCTCATTGCCCCTGGGTCTGGTTTCACTACCCTGAGTCTCATTTTCTTACCTGGCAGTGGAGGCTAAAGTCATCACCTGACACGCAAGATTGTTAGGGGATCAGATTAGATGCAGCAAAGAAAGATGCTCTTGGAAAATTGTAAAGGACAGGATTCCTCAGGTATTGTTTGAGCTGTGGTTCCTCAGGCACAGACAGGCAGGCAGCCCTGATCTGCATTAACCCCTAGCCCTGTCACACTTTTGCTTTGTGTTGCTGGACAGGTAGCTTGGCCTCTCTGAACCTCTGTAAATCCAGAGGTGAAAAACTTAAGTGCTAGCATATACTGTGGATCTGCAAAGGAGCAGCGTGGATCTGTGGAGGGAACCAGTCTGTGGCAAACTGGAGTGAGCGTGACCTGCCTATATTGTAGTATTTTAAAGTTAGGGTTATTAAAATCTCTGCTGGCCAAAGAGAACATTTGTGTAGGTCTAAACTGGCCCTCGGGCTACCAGTTTGAATCCTAGATCTTGTAGAAATTAAATACCTGCCCTGTTGGAGTCAATGTTAGTACTTAAATAGTACCTGTGATTGTAGTTCTGTCTGTCCCCTGTTGGTGAGAAGCCTGACCCTGCTGCAGACCACTCTTTTGTGGGCAGGTGGCTTGGTTCTCTGGGTGACAGTTTCTTCATTTGTAAAATGGGACCATTTCCACTCCCCTATGTCTTTTGATGCGGCATGTTGCCTGAATATGACGGCCTCTCCCCTCCTTTCAGGAACAGGCCTTCGAGAGCAGCCAGAAGTACAAAGAGGGGAAGTACATCATTGAGCTCAACCACATGATCAAAGACAACGGCTGGGACTGACCCCTGCTCCTGACGCATGTGGCTCCAGCCCGGCCTGGCCTGGCCGCCAGGGGGCGCCACTGGCTTCCTTCCGCCCAAAGGGAGCTCTGGACCCTCAGGGCCCCTGCAGAGGAAGGACCCAGCTCCTGTACATATATTTTATTGCATGCACTGTGACCTTGGGGGGAGATCAGAAGGTGGACGACACCCCCGCAACTCCCTGCGATCTGGCTGGCTTGGATCTCATTTTTAACCCCTTCCTGCCCCGCCTGCCCTATAGATATGGCCTGTGTGCTGCTCTCTTGGCCCCAGTGCACCGTCTGCCCTATGAACTTCTGCCACCGGTCCCCTCTTACCCCACGCGTGTCTGCTCCCCATGTTCTGTAGCGTTTGTACATAATAAAACAATGGAGTGGAGACCGCTCCAGACTCACGTGGACTCTGGGAAGGGGACACGCATGCAGATTCCCACCTCTAAAGACCCCAGGGTTAGGCGTGGTGATCAAAGCTGGACACCTTCGCTCCTGGACCTGGCTTCAGGCGCCTTCTCCGGGACCCAGAGCAGGTCTCACTGCCCGTGGTGACTGCCAAGCCCACTCTGGCTCTCCAGGCCTTGACCTGGGCTGATCTGCATCAACTCCGCCTCAGCGTTTTGCCGCCGCCTAGGGGCCGCTCTCGTGGGAAGCCGCGGCGTCGGCGTTGTGGGTTCCGCGCCCCTCTCGTTCCAACTACAAATTCCAGCGGTCGCAGCGCGGCCGGGCGGCGTCTGTCAGCTTCCTTCGCGCCGAGGCCCGGCGCTGGGCCTGCTGGGAAGTGTAGTTCCCAGGGTTCCCCAGCGCGGGACCTGCTGGGAAGCCCGAGCGTCGGCCGTCTAGCTGTGGGTGCTTCTAAACAGCTGACACTGACCGAAAGTGGAGTTTTTTCCTATCGGGCACCACGAAGGCCTCCAGGGCTCAGGCCTCGGTTGCGGACTCCTTGGATTCCTCGAGGTCCCCAGGCCCTCTAACCCTGCTCTTACCCTCCCGTCACACTTAGTCCAGCCAAGTCCCAGCCTCCAAGTGAAGGGGCGGGGGCACCTGTCAGAAAAGCCTGGGGGCGCCATGGTCTGTGCCAGGACTCCAGGTTCCATCCCAGGATCCAGGCCCCGCCCCTCAGTAGCTTATCCTAGCTGGGGCTCTCCCCGTGGGAACAGGGGACCAGCTGGCCGGAAGCGCCAAACTGCGTCCCTGTCGAGCCCCTGGGGATCAATCAGGCCGAGGAGTTAATTATGTAATGAGGGGGCAGGGGGTCGGAGCTAATGAAGCCTAGGGGGGAGGGGGGAAAGGGAGGGTACCCAGGTATCCGGCCCCCTCTTGGACCTCTTCCAGGCCCCAGGGGTCTCCACCTCAGCCCAACTCCTGGGCCTCAAAGAGGGGAGGGGCTGTGATCCTGGGTCTGGAAGGGGCTGAGCTGTGAGCTATAAAGGGGGCATTTCTCAGCACTGGGGAACTCTGGGCAGTGTGACCTGAGGCCGGACAGGAGTACTCCATGTACCATCCGCGAGAGTTATACCCCTCCTTGGGGACTGGCTACCGCCTTGGGCCCCCCCAGCCAGGGGCAGATTCCAGCTTCCCGCCTGCCCTGGCAGAGAGCTATCGCTACCCTGGTGAGCTGAGACTAGCTCTGGAATAGGGGTTGGGGGTGGCTGTGTCCTTCAACTGGCCCCTCATTCTCTCCCATCTCCAGATCTGGACACTCCCAAACTGGATTGCTTCCTTTCGGGGATTGACGCTGCTCCCCGCACCCTGACTGCTCCCCCACCTCTGCCTCCACTGCCCCCAGCCCTGGGCACTGAGCCACCCCCCTCTGCCTCAGAGACCCTTCACTCGCTCCCTGGAGTCAGCCTGAGCCTGGAGAACCGGGAGCTGTGGAAAGAGTTCAACTCTGTGGGAACGGAGATGATCATCACCAAAGCTGGGAGGTGAGGGGCTGGGCCAGGGTCAGAGAAGCCAGTGTTCCTGCAGGGGGTCTCTTGGGAAAGGCAGAGTTCTTGGTGATGGGTGTAAGTCTGGGGCGCTAGGGGTAGCGGTCTAAGTTTAGTGTGACTAGATGAGGGGTCATTCTGTGGTACAGGTCAGGGCTCGGTTTGTGGAGTCTGTGGCTGGTTTAAGGACAACCTGTGCAAGGGTCACAGGTCAGTATAGTCTGTGTTCTGGAAGTCTGACTGCGTGACAGATTAGTAGGTGGCCTAGATCAGAAGTCTGTGGCTGGAGTCTGGGTTCAGACTATGACTAGGTCAAGGGCCAATCAGTGACCACCATCAAGAAATCTGGCCAGGATCAGGGGTAACATGTGGCTAGGTCCAAGAGGCAGGGAAATGGTCTGCGTGGGATCTCTGAGGCCAGGAGCCAAGGCCCTCACATGGAAAGTTCTCTGCGGAAGGTAAGGCAGTTTTGTTTTGTTTTGTTTTTTCTTACCGAAGTTTGTCCAGCTGGCAGCTGTAGATTCTGATGCCACGGCTCAGGTAAGGCGACCTCTGGTTTTGAGATGGAGTTTGAGGGACTAGGTGTCGAATCCGACTCTTCCAGTCTGCTGTATGACTCTGGGCAAATCATCTGACCTGTTTCCCAACTGTAAAATGGAATGAGATCAATTTCCAGCTCTATGACTCTGTCCTCTGAGTTCTAACTCCACCTCCCTCCACGTTTCTCTGACAGAATGGGTGAGCGGTGGCTATGACCAGGTTGGATGTGAGTGCAGTGCCCACCCTGGCCAGTGGGTAGCTCCAGGCCTCTCCCCTTCCCTCCCTAACAGGCGCATGTTCCCTGCTTGCCGAGTGTCAGTCACCGGCCTGGACCCTGAGGCCCGATACCTATTTCTTCTGGATGTGGTTCCAGTGGACGGGGCTCGCTACCGCTGGCAGGGCCGGCGCTGGGAGCCCAGTGGCAAGGCTGAGCCCCGCCTACCTGACCGGGTCTACATCCACCCTGACTCTCCTGCCACTGGTGCTCACTGGATGCGGCAGCCCGTGTCTTTCCATCGTGTCAAGCTCACCAATAGCACACTGGACCCCCATGGCCACGTGAGGCCCAGGCAGGGACCCCAGGCTGAAGGGTGGGGTGGGGCCCAGGGTAGGGAGTTACTGGTGTTTCTTCCTTCCTAGCTCATCTTGCACTCCATGCACAAGTATCAGCCCCGCATACACTTGGTGCGTGCTGCCCAGCTTTGCAGCCAACACTGGGGGGGCGTTGCCTCCTTCCGCTTCCCCGAGACCACGTTCATCTCTGTGACAGCCTACCAGAACCCGCGAGTGAGTAACCGTGCTTATAGGTGGGGCTGGCGGGCTGGTGCCTTGCCAGGCTGCAGGAGCCTTAACCCTGCCTGGATGTGTGCTCCCCAGATCACACAACTGAAGATTGCAGCCAACCCCTTTGCCAAAGGCTTCCGGGAGAATGGCAGAAACTGTAAAAGGTGGGCATTGCTGGTTCATTCACTCCTTCACTCAACAAAGTGGCGATTAGTAACCACCCTCTATGTACCTGTTACTGTGCTGGATGCCAAGGACATAGTGATAAATAAAAACATTTATTGACTCTTGACAAATATTTAGCACCTGCATTGGGCCAGAACAAGCTTAGGCACTGGAGATCCATCAGTAAACAAAACCCTGCCTTTCTGGAACTGGTGATTCTAGTGGGCAGAGGAGACAAGTAAACCAGAGAAATATATATTTATCAATGTTAGAGCTGAGGTCTAATGAGAAAAAGGAAGATAGGAAGGACTACGGTAAGGTCTTTATTCAATGAGACCTGGAAAGGTCTGAGAAGCGAACATTTGGGGGGAACCTCAAGCATGGGAGTGATGGAGCGTGGGCATGATGGAGACTTGTGAAACGTGCACCAGGGAGGAGCACAAGCAAGGGCCCTGAGGTGGCAGTAGCCTGTGGTAAGGCTGGAGAGGTAAGTCAGAGGTGCTGGGAGCCAGGTTATGCTGGCGAGTATTTGCCAAGGACTCTGGCTTGTTAGTCCTGCCCATTGGAGCTCGCCCTGGCTGCTCAGGGAGTAAGTCAGGCGCAAGAGACAGATGACCCTCAGCATGAAAGGGTAGCTGCTGGCAAACCTTATCAGGCAAGGCCGTGTGCCATGGGAGGTCAGGACTTCCCCCGGCAGTTATACTTGAACTGAACGGACAAGAAGGATACATTAAGCAGGTAAAAGGGACAAAAAAGGGCTCCGGAGTAGAGACGGCAGAGGGGACGAGTTGGGTCGAGTTGGGATTGGACCGTGTTCTGGTCTTGCAGGACTTTCCATTGATTCTAAACTCAATAGGAACCATTGAAGTTTGAAGTCAGGAATAAATCCCAGCCCTGCCACTTTCTAGTCACTGAATCCTCTGGTTTTCAGTTCCTTCACCTGTAAAATGGGTATAATGGCACCTACCTGGTAAGAATCCCTGGGAGGGTGAAATACCTGTCACCTGGAAAGTGCTATTATTGCCATTATCATCACCATCATCATCACCATCACTATTCCCCAGGGAGCGAGAAGCCCGTGTGAAGAGGAAACTGCGGGCCCCAGAGCCAGTAGCCAGAGAGGCCTACGGGAGTGGAGGTGAGTGTCCCAGTCATGACGGGACCACGTCTGATGCTTACTGTCCTGGGCCCAACCTACCCCTCTCTCCACAGATGCACCAGGTGGTCCCTGTGACTCCACGCTGGGTGGGGATATTCGTGAGTCAGATCAAGAGCAGACCCCAGTGCCCCAGGAAGCAGCTCCAGCCGCAGCTCCTGCATGTGGTGGCCCCAGTGCCGAAGCCTACCTTCTGCACCCTGCAGCCTTTCATGGGGCCCCCGGTCACCTGCCCACTAGGTGAGTGGGACAAAGGGATGGGGCTGTTCTGGGATGAGGGTTCCCCTCCCCTGTCCTGACTACCTCTTTTCACTTTCAGGAACCCCAGCTTCTCTGAGACTCTAGACTCTGGGCGACCAGCGCCCTACTCAGCTGCATTTCTGGAGCTGCAGCCTGGGCCAGGGGGCTCAGGATACCCAGCAGCTGCACCCCCAGGACCCTTTGCCTCACACTTCCTCCAAGGGGGCCCCTTCCCTCTCCCCTATCCTGGGCCTGGGGGTTACCTGGATGTGGGCTCCAAACCAATGTACTGACCCTATTGCTGGGCTCCTCTGTCCCCCTCCCTGCCTTCCATCACAAAACTCCAGTTCCCTTCCCCCAAGCCCATTGCCCCCTCACTTCCACTGGTCCCATCCCCCACACCAAATGGCAGCCTTGGGCCTCCCCCCACCCCTACTTCACACTTTGATTTTACTCCCACCCCCCTCTGGCTTCAAAGCTCTGACTAAGCTGCTGGAGTCCAGCTGGGGCCTGCTTCCCCTTCCCGGCTCTCACCTCTGTGTGAATGGAGGGAGGCTCTGCCTGGCCAAATGGGGCCCCGGACCAGCACCCCCACCCCGCTTCACTGGTGGGCTCTCCAAGTTCTGCCCCCTGGCCCCAGCGCAAGCCACACCAGTCTGTTCTCAAGACCAGAGTATTTTTGTTAATAAAACTCCAAAGACATCTGTGCTCTGGAAACACTGGACTATGGCGTCTGGCCCTGGGCAGGGCTGGGTGAGCAAAGGTTTTGTGGGGAGACGCAGGCTGGGGTCTAGACTGCCAGCTTCCAGCTCTTGGCCTGTGCATATAGATCATTTTTCGCTGCAGGAAAACGGGCCTGTCCAAATGTCCTGACCAACTTTGAAAAAGCAAGGCTGCCTTTGGGAAGCCAGATCTGAACCTAGCACCCAGGAAGCCTCTGGGGAGCAGTTAGTCAGGGAGTGGAAGCCAGGCTCTGGGATAGTTAAGGGAGGGCCTGTGTCCACCCCCAAAAGCCCCCCCCACCACAACGTGCCAGACTAGCATCACTGTTCATTCCCAATCTGTGTGATACAAACCCAAATCCCCAATCCAGTCTGACATTTTTCTTCTTTTATTAGAATTTTTTTCCTTTTTTCCTCAAAATTTTTATCTAAAAACAAACAAACAAAAAGAAAAACAAAAACAAAAAAATTATTGGAAACGTCATGGTTCAAGTGGGGAGAAAGGAGAGTGCATGGAGCGCAGGCTCCGAGCCTCTCCAAAGTCCTCACCCTCGAAGTGCCCTCTTTGGGACAGGGCGAGCAGAGTCGGGGGCACTCCCTACCCCGCTGCCCAGCCTCTATCTGGAGTAGAGGGCAGAGTCACAGTGGTCCGAGGGCCAGTGGGGCTGGAGAGGGGCAGGGGCCGAAGGGGTCACAGGAAGTAGTCGGCCACGGGTTTCTTGGAGGGGATGCCCCGTGTCTCCTGTGGAGCAGCCTCGAAGATGATGAAATCTTTCTGGAGATGCTCGTCCAGCTCCAAGATGGCTGCCACATTCCCACAGCTGGAAGCCAGAGGGTAGCAGTGTTACAGGAATGGGCCGTCCTGGACCCCCTCCCCCATCTTGACCTCCTGGTCCAGGCTGCTCACCGGTAGCAGTAGTTGGGTGCTGACCACACGGTGAGCACAGTCTCGTTGAAGTGCCACTTGTACCCTTCCATCACCAGTTGGTGGGCGCGGCAGATCATGTCAATGTCGTTGGCTGCATTGAACTGGGCCACCACGTCACTACCGAACAGGTAGCCAGCCCCCCGAGGGCTCACACCCCAGCCTGTCGTGTCTGAGGCAAATGAAGGTAGGAATGGGGTAAGGGTGTCAAGGCTTCTCTGTCCACTGCCTTTTAAAGGCAAATGACTTGACCCCCACCTCCCCCCAACCAATCGGCCGGAGGGGACATGAGCTCAGGGGCCTGAATGTGTACTGGGTGCTTCTAAGGGAGAGGATGGCAAATGCTGGATCAGATAAGCTCCAAAGCAGAAAGAAGTTCCTGGTAGCTGGAACCACTACATAAGCAGCAGAGTCATGTGGTTTTCTGTCCAAACAACAGGCACTCACATGTGAAGGGAGGCGCGAGTCCAGCGGAGCAGATGTGACTGGGCAGTCCCAGCCCTGGGAGGCAGGCAGACTAAGCCGGCATGGCAGCGACGGGGCAGTCCCGGACTGGCACTTGGGAGACTTAGCTTTCACCTCAGCCCTGCTCTATCTTGGCCGAGAAGCCTCTAACAAAGGGGTCCTCCCGGGGCTACCATTCTGGGAATCTGACCTTGGTAAAAACTACTGGTAAGTTCTAAATGTTAAGGGAACCAATGGTTTCATCCTAAAAAAGCCTCTGAGCCATGACATACAGGTCTCAACCCCCTCTCTGGGCTCAGAGCACCCTGCTTCCCACATTCCCCATCCTCCTGATGGTGCCAAGCTATGGGCAGGTCAAATACAGATGCCAGTGAAAACCTGCCTATTCTGCCTTTCCCCAAACTCACCTGGCTTTCTGTTCCTTCAAGGAACTTGCTAGAACCACCTCTCAGCCTCTCAACTAAGGGTAGAGGCTACCTGCCTGCTTGCCACCCTTACCTTCAGGGTCCGACCAGAGCAGGTCACACATGGGCCCATCATGAGGCACCTCTTGCTTTCGGTCAATTGTCCGGATCTGGTCCAGGGTCTGAATGGAGGGAGAGAGGCCCCCGTGCACGCAGAAGATCTACCGGGGAGAGCAGGAAAGAAGAGCTGAGAGTCAGGCCCAGAAACTTTCCCCCCACCCCGTCCAGCACTGCGGAGCCCTGTGGATGGCCTACCTTCCCATCGATGATGGCCGACAGGCTGAGGTAGTCAAAGATCTCCGTGCAGTAGCGCCACACAGTCACGGAGCCGTACTTGCGCAGGCACTCGTCGTAGAAGCCATAGACCTGGGTGATCTGGCGGCTCTCATGGTTGCCCCGAATCAGGGTGATGCGGTCTGGATAGCGAACCTGAAGCAAGCCCGGGCTGGGTCTAGGTTCTTTCCCCCTTCCGATCACCTCCCATCTGCAGCCTACTCCATCCACATCCCTACTGTCCAGTCCAGATTCAGGTCATCTTTTCCTGGAATCACACTTCATCTACTTTACAGGCCCCCAGACGCAAAGCTGACCCCCACCCATCGACTGAAATGGCTTCTCTTTCACCTACCAACACAGAGCAAGCCCACAGCATGGCCACCAGGTGCTGGCCCCTTGCAACCACTCTTCTGCTGACGACCACTGAGTTCAGCTGAACACAGCCCTTGCTACTTTCTGGAAGCCTCTCTTCCCTCCCCCCCCAATGCCACTACTCCAACCTCCTGCTCCAGGAGCCCAATCAAATGCCCCAAGTGAAGGAAAGCTCCTGTGACCACCTCCACACACAGAATCTATGAGCACCAGCAGCACAGCTTGAAAGGAGGTGAGGGCGGGAAGGATGCAGACAGGCCAGGCTAGGACGACCCAGAAGTCAAGGGCTCCCACCTTAAGTGCCAGCAGCAGGAGGAACGTTTCAACACTGTAGAAACCACGATCCACAAAGTCCCCCATGAAGAGGTAGTTGGTCTCAGGAACATCACCACCAACCTGGAGGGAGAAGAGGATCTGTTCTTCAACTGTCCCCTAACCACTGAGGTGGCTCACTTTCCAGTCAAGCTGGGGCCGTTTTTTTCACAATGAGCCAACCTAACCAGAACTTTCTTGCCCCCATTCACTCATCGGATTCAAGCTTCCACTCTCAATTAGCGGGTCCTGCAGTCACACCCCCAGGTCATCTCCCCAGTGTTTCCCCACACTCACTCTGAACAGCTCCTTGAGGTCATAGAATTGTCCGTGGATGTCGCCGCACACCTGGGAAGTGAAAAGGTAGGTGGGAAGTCACGGCCCAAAAGCCTCTGCGCTAGCAGATCCTTATTCATGGAGCAGCCCCTGCTTCCAAGGGCCAAAAGTCTGCATGCCCCCCCACATTAGCCTGGTGGGGCATCCCTTCCCGTCCTGTTCCCACAGCGAGTTCTGTGGGCAAGAGCTAGAGCCAGGTCCTTCCAGCTAGACCTGCAGCTCCTGGAGGCTCCACCACCTCTCCCTACTCCCCTTACAGCTCTCACAGTAGTTACTAACAGTCCTGCCCTGGCCAAAAGCACCCATCCAACAGATCGGAAGACTCCTCCAGGAACAGCCACTTCTTGTAATAAGGCTCCCCTGAAGAGGGAGGAGGGAGACAGCTACATGGGGCTCTCTGGGTCCCCAGGGAAGAGGGAGCGTGCAAGCCTAAAGGGACAGCCCATGTGCCCCAAAGACCACGTGAGGCTCTGGAGGGACAAAAGCTACTCACTGTGACTGGTGAGTCCACCCTCTGCACGTTGCTCTCCTCTACCAAGATCTCTCTGGAGACAGGAGAAGACCAGGGTCACCACAGCCAGGCAGCGCAGCGCAGCCCAGCCCAGCCCAGCCCAGCCCAGCCCAATCCCTGACTTTTCCGCGGCGGCAGGGTAGGAGGGAGTCCTTCCACCTCTAGGGGGCAGCAGTGAGTAGGCAAGTTCCCCAGACAGGCTGGCGGCAGCTTGCCTGCTCAGCATCCTTCCAAGCTCCTGGTGGCCAACAGATCAGAGCTCTAGCTCTCATCCCAGCATTCGGTCTTTCCAAGAAAGCTGTGCCATCCCAGGCCTGACTCGCCCTGCCGCTCCCTTCTCACGTCAGCACTCACTCCCAGAAAACACACATCCTGTCCACACAGAGTTCTCTGCTCAGCCTGGATGTCAAGACTGGGCCCTTGGCTGAGTTCTCAGTCTCTGTCCATCACAAGGAAATTCCCCAGGCTGTCCAAAGGCGGTGGGGTGGGGTCGGTGTGGGGGCCAGTCATCAGGTGCATCTTCAAAAGGATACTTTACTACCTTTTCATTGTTCATTTAGAAAAAAAGGAAGACTCTGTTCTCTCATTTGACCTTGCAGTGCAGTCTACTCCCACTCAGTGAGCGTGAGAATGACCACTGCCAGTTGCAGACCCTCAGCTTCAGTAGTACCATCCACCCAAAATTTGGCCTCGATGAAAATGACAGCAATGAACACTCCAGCTCGCACCATGTGCCTGGCCTGCAGCAAGAGCTGTATATGGACAATCAAACCACCACCTCAAAGGCAGGCCCTGTGATGGTTCCTGCTGCTCAGAGAAAGCCAGCGGCTGTGGTCATTCCAGCGGAGTTGAACGAAGGTGCCCTGGCTCCATGGTCAGGCTCTCCCATTTGCACTATTCTGGTGTGGGAGAGCCAGACCCAGTTATCACTGTCATTCTCTGTGCATTCGACTGAGAGCTCCCTGAGCTCAGGGAAAGGGGGTTTCGTGACGGCCTACGGGAGGTGTACCTTGGCTATCCTGGAACGGAAAGAGGCACTGGCGATAGCATGAGAGGCCGCAGAGCGGTGGGACTTGCGACCTCTCCTGCATCTCGTGCTGAACGCCTTCCACACTAATGGTTTAAAATAACCTTTCAATAGACTAAGGGCAGGCTCACAAAGCTGGAGATTGGGTGAACCAGAACCCAGGAGCCCAGTTTCCTGAGAATCTATGCCAGCCCCTTCCACCAACCTCAGATCAAAACTCCACCTGTCATTCTGGGCCAGCTCACTGTCCAGCCCAACTGTCACCTGCAGCATGCCAACAGCCTGCTGATGCTTGTGCCTGCTCACTTTTACTTCCACAACCAATGCGACCTTTAGTAAACTTGCTGAAGTATCAGTCCCTAGATCTGCAGAATCTCACTGCAGTCTCATAATTTAAAAGACACAGAGACGCAGAGGTAAATGACATAACTAGGGCCACGCTGTTCATAGGTGACAAAGCTAGGATGCAGCCTAGAGAGCACCTGATTCAAAATCATCTGTTCTTCATCTGTGGCAAGTTCAGGTCACACATTTCAGGTATCTGTAGTCTGAAGGATTTGAGTCTGTGAACAAGCTGAAGCTGTGGATACTCCAACCTTGTCCTGGGCCCCCAGAGAGTAACCCAGGAGGCCATGGCCAGGAGCAAGAGTTGCCCCCCTCAGACTGGGCCTGGGACAGTAACAGCCGAGTGAAGTATCTCCTAGCTTCATCTTGGTTTCAACTGGGCAGGACTCACATCTCCCAGCTTCCTGCTGCCTCTCTCACAATCTATGTCTCCGCCTGGCTGTTCATCAGCACAGAGTTTAGTCAAGCTCTGCATATAAAACCAATCTCCCTCTAACTAAACTAGAAGACCTTGGGCAAGACATTCTCTTCTTTGAGGTTCAGTTTCCTCTTCAGTGAAAACTCACTCCTGTCCCACCTACTTCACAGGGCTGCTGCAGAAGGCAACAGAAACTGAACACAGCTTCTCTTCTAAAACACCATCAAGCCATCCACACATCAGCTCTCATCACCATCAACACCGATTCAGGCCCGGTGGGGGACATGAGACCTCATGGGGAAATAAATAGGGCCAGTCAGCACTGCTTTATGTTCCCAAAATATGCTAGTCAAGGGCGATTAGCAGTCAAGACTTAAAAAATCTTGGGACTTGTCTGGTGAGTGAAATTTTCTTAAGTTAGCAAAGCACAATAGTCACAGATAAGCATTTAAAAGGGGCCTTGCCACCCCCCTACAGGCTCAGTCTGTGGGAGTCAAAGCCAAGCAAAGTGTCTGATGGCTGAAAGTTCAAACTCATGTGGCCAGCCACCTTCTCGGTGGGAGAATTCAGTCAGGTCGCTAGGCCTCTAGGAATCATGGCTTCCTGTTGTCTAAAATGGAGCAAGTAATTCCAACCCCATAGGTCTGCTAAGCAAAGAAAAATGGATTTCAGTTGTCTGCCAGCACAAAGACAGGCTAATCACTGCCTGTTGTCCAGTAAACGCAGGGTAACCCGGCTGGCTCTTTTCCCATAATGCTTGAGCTCGGTGGAAGCCACACTTGAACAGTTTCTCAGGGAAGACATGCGACTTGGTGGCTCCACTGCTGCCCACACATCCCACAGCCTCCACTCTTATCCTATTCTGCTTGGAATTCCCTTCCTCACTCACCCTGCCCACAGCTGCTCACATTACCTTCACCTTTCAAGGCCGCCCTATAAGCCTTCTCTGATGCCTTCAACCCGCATCAGCACTGCCCTCTTCCTACAACACCTCCAGTACCCTAACATTCTACCAAACACTACGCTGAGCTCATCCTAAGCGCCAACTCTTCACAACCACCTCACCAAGTACGATTATTCTCACTTTACAGACGAAGAAATCGAGTTTCAGTGACCTCAAGATCACCAACAGAGTAAGCGGCAGAGTTCAAATTCGCAGCTAGAGTCGTCATCATATCCAAAGCCTGGGGCCCGAACCACTACATCCTCCTACTTTCCGTGGAAGTCTGAGCTGCACCTCTCATACCGTGCTTGCTTCTGTGGCGGCTTATGTGCCGGCCACTTCTTAGGCTCCTACTCTGACTCTACATTCCTACAGGAAGGCCCCGAAAGGAAAAGGACATACAAAACTGGCTTCAGGCTCCATTCCTTACTTGCTGGTGACTCTGACCATGAGAGTCTTCACCTGCAAAACGGGGACAATACACCCATCTTTAAGGGTTGTTGTTAGAACTAGCAAAATTTTGTAAATCAGTCTTTAGCTTTCTTGCCTCAACCGTTTTTTCTGCTGCTGCCACTCCCTTTTATCAACTTATTCTCTCTTCGGGACTTATTCAAAATCCAGTTTCTCCAAGGAGTCTTCCGTGGCTCCCCCCAGACCGGGCTGTTTCCCTGAGCTTTCCAAGTACTTTCTATAACTCTTTTGTTCCACTGAAAACACATCATCTCATACTTCTAAGTGTCTTTATCCAGGTCCATCTTTCCCCAGTAGGCTGGCTGCTCCCGACAAAAGTGACCCTACTCCGCTCCTCTGCGAAACTTACAGGATGGGCCGACCCCAGACCCCTGCGCTGGTCTGCTCGGTCGGAACCGGGAGTCCGTCCGCCCTTCCCCGAGGTCTGGGCTTCCCCTCCCCGAGGTGGCCGGCTCACCTGGCCTTCGCGCACAAGGCCTTGACTTCGCTCTCCTTGATGAGCTCGCAGCGCCGCAGTTGCTCGATCTGCCGGTCCAGGTCACTGATCTCCGCCATGGCCCACCCACCCCCAGCGCGGGTCAGAGCCGGGGCCGCCGCCCCCTCCGCTCCGCACAGGGGTCTCCTGGGAAAGGCGAAGGTGAGCCCGCGGATCAGGGGGCGTCGGGGAGGGGGGGCCGATTGAATTCTGGCGCTGACCCCCCCCACCCCCGACCTCCCCCTCACATCGGCCCCAGGACCCCCAGCGTCCCACGGCCCTGGCGGCCCCCAGCTAACTCCCGTCGAACCCCGCGGTCCCGCGCTAGGGACGGTGGCCTAGAGGGGCCTCAGACTATTACCCCCGCTGCGACTCCGGCTCCGGCGCTCTGGCTCCTTGCCTTGCTCCTTCAATCCGCTTTGGGCCGCCGCCGCCGCTTCTACTTCCGGCCCCGCCGCGGAAGCAAACGGAGAGCAGTTCCGCCGCGCGCCGGTAGTGGCGTCATACACACCGCCCCCTCCCGCGCCGCGCCCTCAACCCCACCTCTCAAGCCAAAGAATGGAAACAAGCCCAAGGAGCCGGATGTGGGCGCCGTGCGGGCGGAAGTCGTGAGCCACTGGTGCAATGAGGCCTGTACAGACCCATCCGGGCCCCTCCTGGCTCCCTTAGGGAAACTGAAGCCGAGCCAGGCTTCGCCGTGTAAGTTGGTCACACGGTTTCGTTTACCGGTCTTGGTCGGCCGCCCCATTATAGCCCCAGTGCTCAGAACAAGGCCCGCAGGGCACAGTAAGCTTCCATAAATCGTCATTCAGTGTCTGCAGGGGCGGGTCCAGATGTCTCCATGGCTCCAGACTTTCTGCATGGAGGCCCGCCGAAATTCGAAGCAGAAAGGAGTTCCTCATACAAGCTTATGTATGCCTGTCCATAGGACCACCCCTTTCCTAGATCCTTGACAGCCTCCAGTTGCGCCTATTGTCGGCAAGTTTTATTGTTTTTTAGGAGGAAGAAACTGGCCCAGAGGCAGTTCACGATTACATAACAAAGATTCCTGGGTTTGAACCAAGATTGGAATTTGAACCCAGTAAAGTTGTGTCCTCAAGCATCTTGCTCCTCACTTCCACTTTCTGGAACCCACTCTGCCATTGTAAATCCCAAAGTCCCCAAGGTGGCATTTGAAGTCCTCTATTTTTTTCTCTCTTGCTTCACGCAGAGGAAGCAGCTGATCTTTAAGGAAACTTCCTGGTATCTTTGCGCTTTCTCCTTCCTTTTGGAATGTCCTTTTTATCCTCAATTGACCTTCAGTTTTTATTTGCTGTACCTTAGATTTTGCTTCACAAAATTGAGATTAGGCACAGCAGTGAGTGCAGTGTTGAAAGGGCTCTAAAAATAGGTTTGGTTTTGTATATAGGTAAAAATGCAAATACGCAGGGAAGCAAAAGACTGAATTCTTAAATTCCTAGAAGAGCATAAGTCAAGTCAGTTCTGGAGGATCATTACACGGTGTCAGTAGATGCTGAGAGATCAGAAAATCCTAGTTTTTCCCTCTCTAAAAGGGAAGAGGAAAGAGCTCATGGAAGAAACTTGGGATATGGCAGGACTTAACTGTTCCCTGATCACTAGGATCTCTGGTAACTGAAAAGACCTGACCTAGGTACTGCTACGCCTCAGCCTGGTTAATTAGGAAACAATACAAGGCACTGCTTGGGAGGAGGTGCTTCGTGGAATGCAACAGCTACCGAGATTCTGTTCTTAGCCAAGAATCTGAGCCCCCACAGTTCTCTGTGTGCATGTTTGTCAAGGGGGTATATTGAAGATTCCAGTACTTCAAGGGGTTCCACAGCCCAAAGAAGCTAGTTCTGTTCCCATCTGCCATTAATATGGGGAGGCAGACCAGCTCAACAGTGCCACGGAAGGAGATATGCCCTCATAACCTTGTTTCCACCAAGAAACAGTGCTATCTAGGGCAGCATAGCCTTAAGCATAAACCAGGAGTAACAGCACCTGCTCACAGAACACTCATTATGTTTCCTGACTCATAGCACTGGGCAGTCTGTGGCTGCCTTTGTCTGTAGCTGCAGTATCAGATGCTGCTGGTAAAGGGGTGGAGCACCTGGTAACTGGAAGAAAATTCACAAGCTCTGCTCTCAAAGCTCTGGGCAAGTATAAAACCAAACAGGAAGGTCCTAAACACCTCCCTTTCACCATCTTCCTGCTTATGAAGGAAAAGCACAATACAAGGACTCTTTCTTCTTCTAGGTCCTCCCACCTTCCCTGGCCCTCCCCTGCACCAAACACTACAGACATGGACAGTCGACGCCCCCTTAAATAGTTGTTTATTGGCAGTGGGCTGGAAAGGGCGATGGAGTTATTAGCATACACAGACAACACCACACACCAGTGTCACGAGGGAGGCAAGAGTAGGAAAAAGCAGCCTGGAGCCCTGGATGATGCCCCTTCTTCGAGTGTGGGAGGGGCAGGGCCTGGAGTGTTGAGGGGGCAGCCTTAGAACACTACGGCTCAGTAGGCATGGTTAGAGACGAAGAGAGACTCGCTGGCTGCAGCCCCCGACTGGCCGCTTGGTGTGTACTTCCCTTGGCAGGCGAGGCTGTTGGCCTAAGAGGGGAGAGGAGCCTGAGTGAGGTTTCTTCTGAGAGCCCTGTCCACCCCTGCATCCCACCCTCTCCCAGTCCTGCCTTACCAGGGCTCGTTTGACATACTCCTCCTGAGCAGCCTTCAGGTTCTCCTTCTTTCCGCCCCAGGCCTTCAGAGCAGAGGCCTGCAGGGCTCGGCCGTAGGAGAAGGTCAGGGCCCACGGCTTCAGCAGGGGGCACTTGTTGATGGCATTCAGGTTGATGGATGCCTCCTCCTCACTCTGGCCACCAGACAGGAAGGTGACCCCTGTAGAACAAGGGGCGGAATGAGGGGAGGAGTTGTAGTCAGAGACCCAGGGTTGTAGAAACCCCTGAAAGCTGACCTGGAAATCAGACCAGTGGACATGAGAATTGTGAGTGTAGTTTATCGACCATGCAGAGGTCAAGATGAGGGTATGATCTCACCAGGGACGGCAGGGGGCACTGTACGGCGCAGTGCAGTGACGGTTGCCATGGCAATCTCCTCATGAGAAAATTTCTGGGTGCAGGCATGGCCTGGGGTCACCATATTGGGCTTCAGCAAGGTGCCTTCCAGGTAGACGTGGTGGTCACTCAGAGCCTTGTAGACCGCAGCCAGCACCTGGAGCAGGGCAAGGCCACGATGGGGTAGGACAGAGTAGGGGGGACAGGGGTCTACCCAAGGTCCCAGGCCTAGCTGCCTTGACCACCACACTGCACAGGCAGGCAACCTACCTTCTCAGTCACATACTGACAGCGCTTCAAGTCGTGGTCCCCATCAGGGAGGATCTCAGGCTCCACAATGGGCACGATGCCATTCTGTGGGGCAAGGAATAGGGTAGCCATCAGGCCTCCTAACAATACCCCACCTGCAGCCCTCCACAACCATCAACCAAGATCTTATCTCCATGATGACAGACTATTGGCTTCCAAGCCCTCAGCAGTTTGTAGGAGAGGCTGCTCCTCAGAACCACCCGGATTCCCTATCTGCTCGAACAGCCCTTGAGTGTCCTCCACAGGACCAGGCTGGAGGCCTGGTGAGGATCCGCAACAGTTGTCTTGGGGGAGGTGGGTATCCTGGCAGATGGTGGCAAGCTAGCTGACGCTCTGGAACCAAATGAGGTGGGGAGTGGCTTGTTGGGGACTGCAGGCCAACCTGCTGGCAGATGCTGGCATAACGGGCCAGAACGTTGGCGTTTTCCATGATGGCAAGAGCTGAGGGGGTGTGTTCCCCAATCTTCAGCACACAGCGCCACTTGGCAAAGTCAGCTCCGTCCTTCTTGTACTGGGCACAGCGCTCAGACAGCCCATCCAGCCCTGGAGGGGGACAGAGTTGTCAGATCATGGCTGAGAAGGGGGCAGGTCACTCCCTCCACCCAGGGTACCCAGAGGGGTAATGGATAGGGTAAGCTGGGTCAGTAAGGAAGGGGAGTTTGTCAGCAGTTCTCACCTTGGGTGGTAGTCTCTCCATTTGTTCCTGCCAGAGGCACCACACCCTTGTCTACCTGTGGGGTTGGGGAATACATCTTAAGAGAGAGGAAATGACCTCTGGTATCCTTTGTCCTCTGTAGTCTCAATCTGCCCCATCTTACTCTCTCAAGGGGCATCTCATGGTTTGGAAATGTTGGCCCTTAGGTACAGTATCTGGTCTTATGGGAGGACACATGGGGTGTTATCTGATAAGAGCATGGGCTCCTACCACAACCCTGAGCAAAACATTTCATTGCCTTGAACTTCTGGTTTTTAATCTGTACAATCAGGATAATATCTTGTTCTTAAAACTGCAAAAATTACAAATGCCAACCGAGTCCCAGAAGTTTCTAGTTTTTCTCACATATGCTTCCGAGGTGACAGCAGCAGAGAACTTTCTAGGATCCCAACTGTGTTCATCCCCAGTCTATGACTGATTTCTTCCCACCTACCCATCTCAAATCTCATGCCCAAAGGCTCAGCCCCCTCACCTTGATGCCCACAACACCGCCTTTGGATTTGATAACTTGGGGGAAGGGACGCCCATCATCCGCTTTCTGGTAGAGTGTCTCATGGAAGAGGATGACACCCCCAATGCAGGGGTTCACACGATCGTCTGCAGTCAGCAGCAGCTGGCGATAGAAACGTCGGTTCTCCTCGGTGTTCTCAGTGCCAATGGACTGCAGCCGCTTGGCAATGCTCCCTGAAGAGAGCAACGCACAAGAGTAAGGGGCTAGCAGACACTCAGACTGTCACCCCCACCCTGAGCCCTCCCACAGTGTCCTGCCCGCACCAGTGGACTCATCTGCAGCCAGGATGCCCTTTCCTGGAGCCACTATGCGAAGAGCTATGTCAGACAGCTCCTTCTTCTGCTCCGGGGTCAGTGCTGGGTATTGGTAGGGCATGGTGCCGGTCAGATCCTGGGCAGAGGACAGATGAGAGAGTGGTTGGTTAGCTGAGCCTCCCAAAGAGCAGGGCCTCTTGCCTGGAGGTGAGGACAGAGGTTCCCTACCTCCCCTGCCCCACACCCAGCAGGTCTCGGGACTCTTCCTGGCCCCTGCACCAACTTCCCTATACTAGGCTGTCTCTTGTACCTTTCCTAACTCTGTTTGTTGCTGGGTGTTGCCCAGCTGGGGGTGGGGCTGCGTACTAGCATCTGGAGTAAAGGAATAAGCCAGAGCCATGGACAGGTGGGTCATGTAGAAGCTGGACCCTTCTGGCTTGCTCCTTGCCATGGGGTTGCTTTGCCTAGAAGCAAAACCGAACCAAAACATTTCAGAATTTATAGAGGTTGCAGGTAAGGCAGAGGAGCCCCATCCCCTCATTTGACAGGACCAGATCTGAGGTTAGAACCCAGATCTTGTCATAGGGGTGGTTCCTTCCAGTCCACCCAAGATCCCAGGGGTGTCCCAGGCCTCAGAGCCTCAAGGACATCCCAAGGTCACGCTTCTCCCCCAGGGTGGAGGAGGGGTTTCAGGAAAAAGGGGGTGAGAGGGTAACCAGAAGCTCAGGAAAGTACAGAGCAGAGGAAACCCAAACCAAGGTGGAGGAAAGAGATGAGGTTTGCCATTCTCACTGCTCATACAGGGTAAGCGGGGAGGAGGCAAGCGCCCCACCCCTTCCCCGAAAAATGCTCCTCTGCTGGCTGGACTGCAGCTGTTCCAGGCCTCGAATCAAGGTCACCCGATGATAAGGAAAGAGGGAAAATGTTAATGGGGCATCGGGCACTGCCAAGGGGGTGCCCCTTCTTAGCAGGGGGCACCTGCCACCAGGGCAGGGGCCAACCACCCTTTTCGGAAACTCAGAGACAGTACAGGAGCCGGCCCACACCCTCGCTGCCTCTGGGGATTTATGCGGAGGCAAAGTCGTGACCCTTTACACCAGTGGTTCCAGCAAGAAAAAGGCAAAGGGCCTCCATCTCACTCTGCTCCTCCCCGCCATGACTCGGGCAGCGAGGCCGGCAGTGCACTGCGCAGCAACCCCGGGGCGCTCGAGCCGGAAAGGGCCGGGGAGTCTGGGCTGGACGCAGATGTGTGTGAGCCGACGGTGGTCAGAGGGCGATGCTGGACCCGGGTGCAAGGCTGCGCGCCGCCGTCCGGCACCCCCACCCGCCCCCACGATCCTTCTCTACGATCCCAGAACTTCGCACAGAGAGAGGGGCGCTCACCTGGCACCGGAGGGGGGCGGGTTTGAGGGGCGCGGCGGTGTTGGGCGGCGGGCTGGCGAGTGGACTGCGGGAGCGAACGCGGCAGTCGTCACCAGAACCCCAGTTCTGCGGCGCATTCCAAGAGGAACGCAACCTATTCACTCCCGGGGGGCGGGCCTTACGAGGGCGCCGCTCCACCCTCCGCGGGGTGCTTTTCCTTTGCGAGGACGGCGCGTCCAATGGCAGGCCGGCGGCCGCCCCCGGAGGC